TTTTCTGGCTGCAGAATTAGAGCATTCCAAACAGATGACAATTCATCGCTGACTGAGCACAGCCAGCATATGATCTAAGTAGTGTCATTCTTTGACTTCACTGATAGTCATTGAGCACCTACTGTGTCAGGCACTGTACTACTAGGCACTGAGAATTCAGTGTTCAACAAGAGGGACTTTGGGGACTGAGTCAGTAGGACATCGGGTGGTCGAGAATAGGATAATGAAGGAAGAGGGAGACAGAGGGTCTAAGATGATCCCCACAGTTCTGTTTGCGGCACCTGAAGGGAAATCAGAAAAGAAGCCAGGTTGGACAGAGATGACCATGAACTTGGTCTCTGGTCTGTGGGACAGGGATGCCTGGGGCATTCCAGGTAGAGGCACCCGGCTCCTTGGGCGTGGGTTTCATTGGACAATGCTACCAATCATAGTTCATTATCTTTTCTCGAAATTGAAATGCAGAGAACGCTCATTGAGCATGCGTTTTTTGCCATGTGGTGTGCAAGTTTTGGGGGTTTCAAAGGTGAAGGGCTCTCCCTGGTCTCCCGAAGCTCACAAGCTAGCAGACGAGGCAGACGTATAAGAGAAGGGAAAATAGGTACATCCCTGAAGAGCAGGCTTGGGTTCGGCTCTTAAGCCAGACCTGGGCCTGGGCGTGGAGCTGGCCCTGGCCTGGCCCAGCCAAACCCAATGGAATAAGATAGCAGAGAAAGTGGGAGAGTTGATCTAATTTGATGCTCTAATTTGACAGATAAATATCGAGGCAGTTTCTCCCACTGCTGACATTCAGGCACTGCTGATACCCGAGGGACTTCTTTTGCATGTCCTGTGCATTCTTCAGCTCAGAACACTAAGCCACCGAGAAACACTGGGACCTGGCACCCAAAGATGAAAGGTCACCTCTCTCCAGCGGCACAGACGGCTTTGCGGGAGCCACTGTGCTTGTGGTCCACCAGTGCAGGGAGAACCCAGGCTATTTTCTGGAAAGTTTTCTAAAGTCACCTTAACCGCTCTCCATATCTGGCAATGGGGGCTCTCATAAGAGAATATTCCTCATTTAAGTGTAGACTATGTTTTTGCTAAAAGGAAGTACAGCACCTTCATCTCGAGCAAATCCATCTTTCAAGGCAGGAAGTGACGAACAGAAGTTGCCACAGCTTCTGTGGGTCCGAGCTCAAAGCAGCCCGGCTCTGGCTTGGGGGGTCCACCCGAGGCCAGCAGGTCGGCTCTGGCTGGCTCTGGATGGTTGACGTTCCTCCCCGTGTGGGCCCCTCTGTGTAGGTGGCTTGGGTGGCCTTACGCCATGGCACTGCCTTCCCCTTCCGGAACTGGAACGAGATGAGGACGTCTGCTGTCACTGCTTCTTCCAGAGCGGTGGTGGCCTGATGGTTCTGCAGGCTGGAAATGCAGGACTGAGGTGCCAGCAGGGCTGCTTTCTGCTGGGGCCCCTCTCCTTGGCTGTGGCCTCACGCGGTCTCTCCCCTGCCGCCTCCCACTTTTTCCAAGTTTGCTCTGATCTCCTAAATCACTTCCCGCTCCTACGCTTGTCTTCCAGCTCCACCAACTTTCTGGGCACGTCCTCCTCTCATTTTCTGTTGTGAATTTATCCCCCTTTGCATCTCTAATCCCCTGGCTCTCATTTTGGCGGTGCTGGAGAGGCGAGGGCAGAATGTGTTCGGGCTCCCATAGGCCACCCAAAGGTGCCCCTGGTGAGTGAGATCGTGGTGGTACCAGTAGTTAGACCCCCTTTTCCTTTCCAGTAGTGTTTATTTGTATCTTTCTCTCTCCTTCCATTCTTTCCGTGTCATTTATTTCTGCTGTCTTTGTGGTTTCCTTCCTTCTACTTTCTTTGGGATTATTTTATGGTGGTTAGAAAAACTTGCTGCTTATTTGTTTTGAGGTGATAAATTCTCTCATAACTTCTTGCACTGTTTTCGTATGTGGCGTTTTCACTGTCTTTTGGTTCTAAATGTTTCTAGATTTTCATTATAATTCTTCTGGGACCAATGAATTATTTGGAAGTATATTTTTAAATTTAAATTCCCAAATGCATGATAAGACTTAATTTTACTTTTTAAAATCAATTTATGATTTTATTCTGTTGCAGTTCGAGAACACGGTCTGTATGACACCAGTTCTTTTACTATTTGTTGAGACCTGTTTTCTGACCTAGGACCTGGTGAGTTTTCAAGTTTGAGGTGAACTTGAAAAGAATGTGTAGTCTCTAGTTTTTGAATGTTTATTAAATCAGGCTGTTCAAGGGCCGGCCCGTGGCTCACTTGGCAGAGTGTGGTGCTGACAACACCAAGTCAAGGGTTAAGATCCCCTTACTGGTCATCTTTAATAAAAAAAAAAAAGAAATCAGGCTGTTCAATCTTTCTATATTCTTACTAATTTTGTCTGATTAAACTATAAATTCCAGTGTGAGGGGGTGTAATTTATTGTGGAGAATTTACTAATTTATTAATTTGTCCTTTTACTGCTACTTTCTTGCTTTCTATTCATTCGAGGCTCTCTCATTAGGCAGGTGCACTCAAGTTCAGAATGAATGATTTCATTGTGCAATGACCTTCTCTTTTACACCTAATAATGATTTTTGCCCTGAAGCCTACTTTGTCCAGTATTAACTTCTCTCTACTACCTTCCTTTGGACAGTATTTGTCAGGTATATGTCTCTTTCCATCTGCTTAAATTAGGGTTTGGTGGCAGAGCATGGAATCATTCTAGCTATATACGTTTCAAAGAAAAAAAGGGGGCATTATCATCAGATGGGGATGACCTACACCATCTTGGGAAGAGATGACAGAAGAGCTTTGAGCCCTCTAAATCTGCCACCTGTCCTGGGATCAGGAACAAATTCTAACCCCAAAATGTGGATGAAACGCGGTCTATCCCCTACCCTCCAAATGAGAGACCAAGCACCTCCTCCCCAGGCTGTCTACACCGAAACTTCAACCACCACCTGCCTGTCTGCTGGCCCAAGCCCCACTGAGGAGCTCCAGCTGAGAGAGCTCAGGCTGCCTCTCTCTGCCAAGGGCGCCGTCACCCACCCAGCCCTCCAGGCCCAAACCCAGGGTGCCTCCCTCTCCCCTCCCTTCCCCCAGGGTCTCCCCCCCACCATCTGCTCTCCTAACTACTCAGATCCCTCCAGGGCTTCAGGCCTCAGCATGGCTCGTCTGGGTGGCTGCAAGGTCCCTGCTGACACTCCCCTGCCATCTCTATCCATCTCATCAGCCAGCTGTCATCTATCCAACATGAGTCTATCTATAGTCAAACATATACCTGTCATCTAGCCACATCTAGCATTTATCCATCTATAATCAGTCATCTGTCAATCTTTTTTTTTTTTTTTCCTTTTTGTCTTTTTTACTGACCGGTAACGGGATCGCAACCCTCGGTGTTGCGCCCGTACCGGGGACCGGCAATGGGATCGCAACCCTCAGTGTTGCGCCCGCACCACGCTCAGCCAGTGAGCGGGAACTGGTCTCCACATGGGATCCAAACCCTCGGTGGGAGCGCCACCGCACTCCCAAGCGGCGCACTCTCCAGTGCACCACCGGGCCGGCCCACCTATCAATCTTTCAGTCTATGATCAATCACTTCCCTCTAATCCATCAATCCAACATCGATTTTCTATCTCTGTCAATGATCTACCATCTGTCCAGGACCTGTCTCTCCTGTATCTGTCATTGATGTAACCGCCTATCTATCATGCTCCATCACCTACCTGTATCTCTAGTCTTCATCTGTTTATCTGTCAATCTATCACCTATCTTCTGTCAATCTGTTTGTTGCCTTTCTATCAATCTATCAATCATCCGCTTATCTGTCACCTATCTGCCTCTCTGTCCTCTATCTGCCCAGCTATCATGTACATATCCAACGCTGGTCTGTCTATCTATAATCAGTCATATATCAATCCATTTTTCGACCTATCAGAGATGACGGACAAATGATAGATACACCTACCAATCGCCTGTCAACCTATTTTGTGAGGTGAAATTCACATATCATAAAATTTAAAGTGCACAACTCAGTGGCATTTAGTGTATTCGCAGTCATCTCTGTAGTTCCAGAACATTTTCATCACCGTGAAAGGAAACCCTGTACCCCTCAAGCAGTCTCCCTACCCTAACCCTGGCACCCACTAATCTGCTTTGTGCCATGGATTTGCCTATCTGGACATGTCATGGAAGTGCAGTCATACACCATGTGGCCTCGTATCACGTCTTTCGCTGAACCTGATGTGTTCGAGGTTCATCCACGTTGTAGTGTGTGTCACAGCTTCGTGCTTTTTGTGGCTGAGTGATGTTCCATCATGTGGCTATGCTGTGTTTTGTTTATCCATTTATCTGGCAACGGACACTGGTCAGCTGCTGGGAACATTTGTGCACCAGTGCCTGAGCAGCTGGTCTCAGTTCTCCTGGGTGTGAAGCTGGGGTGAGTGCTGGGCCGTGAGGGAACCCTGGGCCTGCTCAGCGCTGTCCGCCAGCAGTGCGCTCTGGCCTCCCTCCAATAACCCTCCACAGGTGGCCACTGGGCCTCCTGCTGCTTCCGGGCTAGTCCCCGGGGTCCCCTTCCCTCGCATTCGCGCACACCCTGTATGTAGCCCCCATTCACCCCTGGGCCTTTGCATAAGCGCGCCCTACTTCCTAGAAGATCTAGAAGCTGCAGCACCTCTGCTTTGTGTCCTGGCTTAGACATCACTTCTCCCCGCTGCCCCAGGCACCGGGCTCAGAGTCCTGCTTCGGCTCAGCCACTTTTTATGAAATGCTGTTGCGGGTCCTACTCCCCACAGCCCGTGAAGCCCAGAGCGTTTTTGACACTCACGGAGAGTGCTGGCTGCGGCCTGCGGTAGGAGGGCTGCGGCTGCGGTGACCTCTCCTGAGGGGCTCGGGGGTTAGGCCCGCTCCTTCCCAAACCCACCCTTTCCCCAACAGGCAACTTACTGGTCCCCTCCCTGTGTCCCCTCTGACCCCTGCCACACACTGAGGCAGGGCTGCATTTTCCACGGGAGCTTTTTACTGAGGGACTGAGGGAGGCGCCCGGCCCGGGGGCCAAGGGCCCGGGAAAGGCACATGGCGGCGGTGGGGTGTCCCTCTCGACGAGGGCTGGCTTTGCAGAGACAGCTGCCCCTGCTGTCCCCTCTTTGGCACTGAGCTGGGAACACGGTGCCCTCACTCCCGGCTGGCAGTGTAGGCTGGCAGGTGACAGGCGGCAGGGGGGGGGAGTGGGGTTGGCAGCAGGGGAGCCAGCGCCCTGGGTTCAGAGCCGGGCCACTTCCCCTGCTGGCAGGACGCTCACGCTGGCACCTAGATGCTACTAACGGGGCATCCAATAAATTAGGTGGTGGAGGGAGAGAGGCTGGGGGCCGGGGGCAGGACTACACTGTGTATACGTGAAATGTGAGCTGCTTTCTCCCCGGGCTCTTCGGGGCTACTGCGGGGAGAAGAGGGCGCAGACCAGGGGCCTCTGGCTGCTTCTGCGGCAGGAAGGGTGCCCCGTGGATGTGCCCTCAGGGGTGGCAACAGAGGGATGGACCATGGGGTCTTCGAGGGATTGAAGAGAGGGAATAACGGGGAGTTGAGTCTCAGGAAGGGGTGACCCACAAGTGCCAGGGTCTGCTCACTCCCTGCGGCTCAACTGCCCTGTGCAGGATCAGGACCTGGGGCTGCCCCAGCCCCATGCTCCCTCCCCAGAGAAAAGTAAAGGACTCATGGCCCTGAACAGGGCACAGTTCTGGTGCAGCAGCCCCTAGGGCGCCACCCACGCTGGCTGGCATCTTCTAGGCAGGGCAGGCTGGGGGCGCGGAAAGGGCGTGCAGGGCAGGCCTAGGGTGGGTGGGGGCTGCTGCTTCCTTCATGTGATCTGACAGCTTGGGGAGGAGTGGGGGCCAGGGGCCAGGGCCGTCTGTCAGGTGGCGGTGCCCTGGAGGACGCTGGGTGGCTGCCCGGGGGCCACTGCCTCGCCCAGGATCTGGCGGAGCTCCTGCAGGCGCCGCTGCATCTTGGGGATGCCCGCCAGCTGCTGCTCCAGCCGCTGCTTCTCCTCGGTCAGGCTCAGGCGGGTGGCTGAGTCCAGCTTCTCGAACTTCCAGCCTCCCTCCCCATCGAACTGCAGCAAGTGAGTGTGGTACTTCCTGGCCAGAGAGACAAGGGTGCCTGTTGGGGCTGTCCTCCTCCCTCCTGGATGGCACTGCTGTCCCTCCCTTCGCCCCCAGCTGCAGAGGCCGCCCCCGCCCCCCACACTCCAGGCTGGAAGGGGGTGCCTACCACAAGGAGGGCCGGTGCGTGATGGAAAGCAGGGCGATGCCTGCGTCCTTGGCCGCCTGGAAGATCTTGCCTTCCACGTCGATGCTCACGGCGCTGGTACACTCATCCAAGAGAGCGTACTTGGGCCTTGGGGATTGGGGGCCGAGTCGGAGAGGTTGTGGACCCTCCATTGCCCAACACCCTGGCCTGGCCCCAGCCCGCAGGGGGCACCCTGACCCCCTGCCTGCTCCCGGTGGCCCAGGCCCTGACGAGCCCAGGGGTGGGGCTGAGCTTCTTAGCAGCAGCTGCCTTCCTCCTCCAGGGGCCCAGGGAGCCTGCGCCCCAACTCAGCCTCCAGGGAGCACTCGGGCTGCCCACTTGTCCCTGCCACTGGCTCCCTGGATGCCCCGGAAGGCCACCGCCTCCGAGGGCTCACCTGTGGTAGAACATGCGGGCCATGCCGATTCTCTGCTTCTCGCCCCCCGACAGGACGTCCTTCCAGTCACACACAGCCTCCCAACCTGGGTGGGGGGCAAGGGGTTCTGCTCAACTAGACAAGCACTGGGCGTGCGTCTGCGGGGGTGGGGCTGGGGCCCACTCAGGGGAGCTGGTGGAACAGCCTGTCCAGCTGCACACCCATGCTCGCTCTGTGATACCTTAACAATCCAGAGTTGAGACCAGAACTGTGTCCCCCTGAAAAGATATTTTGGGAGTTCTAACCCCCAGTGCCTCAGGGTGTGACCTTATTTGGAGATTGGGTCTTACAGAGGAGATCAAGTTAGGATGAGGTCATTAGGGTGGGCCCAGATCCAACAGGACTGTGTCCTCACAGGAAGGGGACATGAGGACACACAGACATGCATGTGAAGAGACATAGGAAGAAGACGGCCATCTACAAGCCAAGCAGAGAAGCCTGGGACACACCCTGTCCTCACGGCCCTCGGAAGGAACCAACCCTGCTGACACCTTGATGTCATACTTTCGGCCTCCAGAATGGTGAGATGACACATCTCTGTTGCTTAAGGCCCCCAATCTGCAGTACTTTGTCACAGCAGGCCTAGTGGTGGCAGACGGTCATGGCGGAGAGCCCTAGGGATGGCCAGAGCAGTCTCCCCAGAACAGAGGCTCCTCACCCGTAGGGATGGAGCCCCATCTCCTTGCCCAGTGCCAGCGTCTTGGCAAGGCTCAGGTGGGCTGTGTGAGTGTGTGTGTGAGGACAATGATTCTTCAGGACAGCGTGGCAGAAACAGCTCCTCTTCTCCTACCATCCACTCTTCCTTCCCATGGGACTAGAAGTTCTAGCAGGGCACGGGGCCAACCAGAATAAAGATTACACTTCCTTGTGTAATCTTGCCTTGTGGCGATGTGTGACCATGTAACTAAATTCAGGCCAGTGGAGTATGTGTAAGTGTAAGCTATATGCGGTAGCTTCTGGAACCTTCGTTAAAAGGCAGAGGCATGCACTCTTTGCCCCTTTGGCACCCACTTCCTCCATCCTGCAGCCTGGGACGTAGATGTGATGGCTGCTACAGCCATCCTGGATTATAGGTGACCTGGTAGAAAAGGGTGGATCCCTGGAACTTTCATGGAGCAGGGCCGCCCCACCAATTGTGGCTTGCCTGTCTTGGGACTTCTACAGCACAGTAGGGTAAACTCATGAACGAGTTAAGCCACTATTGGGGAGGGGCGCAGTTCTGTTACTCATAGCTGAACTCAATCCTAACACGTTGTGATGGTCACCCGCAGGCCACGGGAGCCTCAGAGGACTGGAGGAGGGGTACATTCCCAAGCCCAGGGCAGCAGGAGCAAAAGAGGTAAGGCCAGGCCAAGGGGGAAGCTAGGGGTGAAGCTTTGAGGTAACCACGGCTGCTCCCCAGACTTCACCACCACTGCACCCCCTTTTCTGCACAAGCAGGTGACAACACCCAGGAAGAATCCTCCTGAATCATCAGATCCCCTGACGTTTTCTGCAAACCTGGGAAGCGTCTTTACAGGAGTTCTCTCTTTTAATGCTGCCACCACCACCGAGGGAGAGATCATTACCTGTCCTCTTCTATAGGCGAAGAGAGTCTCAGAGAGGTGAGATCTTCACCCAAGGTCATCCTGCACCTAAGTGGCTGCAGAACCCTGATGCCCAGATCTCACTAAGGAAGCTGGCCATGCCCTGCACTCCGTCCCTGCTGTGGCACTGCCCTTTCCTCCTCCTCCTCTGAGCACAATGGACATTGCAGACAAGCACTGTCCCTCCATAATCCAGCCTGTCCTTCTCCTGTGCGCTTGTCTTAGAGTCCCCTGTGACTCTGCTCTCTACACCCACATTCCAATCCTCTTCACAAACCTCCTGACAGTGGCCACCCCTGTACACCTGCTCACCACCATGTGGTCTGTCCAATCCCTTCCAAGGGCTTCCAATCCCTCTCAGGGAAGGCCCAGGCTCCTGCCTGGCCCAGAGAGCCCTCCATGAGCCAGCCCCTCCCTGCCACCGAGCCCTGGCTGCTCTCTGTCCTGCTGTCCCCTGCAGGGGGACTGCTCAGTGTTCTGCAGGTCTCAGCTCAGATCTCTCTTCTCTGGGAGAGGGTGTCCTGGGCCCCCCAATGAGGTGAGTACCCCTGCTGGATGCCCACTCATGCCACCTGGGGCCACCTGTTTACTGCTGGTCCTCCATGGTAGGCGGGTCCCTCAGAGGCCAGCGTCCCTGCCGCACCCCTGTGGCACCTAGCACTTTGGACTCCTGGATGTTGAGATAATTTTCATCCCTGGGGACCCAGGGGAAGAGTCTAGGGTGGAGGTGGCAGCAGGTGCCCTCATTCCTACCTCCCTCCCGCTGCAGGATGTGGTGGAGGTGCACAATGTCCAGGATGGCTTCCAGGTGGTGCTCCGAGTAGCCTTTCCTTCGCATGTCTGCCACGGAGTCCGGGTAGATCACCTGGTCGCGCAAGGAGCCCACGGGCATGTAGGGCCTGTGGGAGAGATGCGTGTCCACCAAGGGAAGGGACAGCTCTGCTTACCTGAGGGTGCTCTGTGCCTGAGTGGGCTCCACGGTGGGCCCTGGCTGCCTTCCAGGCAGTACACACACACCAACACATGCATGCACGTGCACACACATGGCCCACACACATCGGCAATGGACAAGTGACGGGCTGGGGCAGGCCGGGAGGGTGCAGGCACCACAGCCCCTCTCTGATTCTGGGACAGCATCTTGGTGTCCCCTCCTAAGGTGCTGATTATCTACCATTTCCTGGACCTCTGTTGTAAGCCACCTCCGATTGCACAGGTAGGAAGAGGCGGGGGAAGAGACAGGGAACAGGGCCCGTCCCCGCCCCTGCCCTCCTGCGGCGCCTCCTCACCTCTGAGGGATGTAGAACATGCGCTGCGGCGGGGGCTTGTAGAGCACGCCGCCGTACGTGGGCCACAGCCCGCCGAGGATCCGGAACAGGGAGCTCTTGCCGCAGCCGTTGGGGCCCGTGATGAGCAGGTGCATGCCTTCCTCCACCTGCAGAGGCAGCAGGCGTGGCACCCGGGCACGGGCCTCCTCCCCGGCCTCGGAGAGCTCCCTATGCCCGGGGCCACTCTCCATCTCTTGGTGGGGACTGCTGGGCCTGAGAGATGGGGTCCTGTGTCCAGAGCCCTAACTGAACGCCTGACCCAGGACATAGGGAAATGGACAAGACACGGCCCTGTCACCAAAGGCTCTGACATGCACAGAGAGCACGGGGCCAGCATGAGAGGAAGGGCCTGTTCTGCCACAACTGAATGAATGGGTGTGTTCCAAGACAGTAAATGTCACCCTCAATCCTCTTCGACTCCCACTTCACTGGGAATCCAAACACAGCTCTTTTAGAAATGGCCCTGGGGAAGGCACTTTCTTCATGGTTCTAGACTTACAGTATAAACCCAGTGCTGATCTCCCTGCCCCCCATGGCCTTCTCTGCCTTCATGGGTGCCAGGGTACCACAGATGCTGCTGTGGCCCCTGGGCTCAGCGTCAAGGACCTCAGGCTCCCCAGTTACCCGATTACATGATCCCCACTGGAGTTATGGAAACACCTGGTGTAGGAAAAATGCTGCCCCATGTGCAGGTAGGAGGGAGACTGCTACCTTCTCCTACTGGATTCCCATTGAGCACTGATGATGCCTGAGCATGGGGCATGGAGTCAGGGCACCTTGCGGCAGAGACCACCCTGGCCACCACCACCACCATCACGCTGAGTCCCTTCCCTCTCTCAGTGTGTTTCCTTATCTGTGAAATCAGTGCTAGCAATGTACAGGGCTCCTGGGAAGATCTGAGGTCATGGCTTTGGCTGCACTTCGGCAGTGTTATGGGTTGATTTGTGTCCCCCCAATTCATATGTTGAAGTCCTAGCCCCCAGTACCTGAGAATGTGACCTAATTTGGAAATAGGGTCGTTACAGGTGTAATGAGCTGAATTCACATGAAGTCCTACTGGAGTAGGGTGGGCTCCTACTCCAATCCAACTGTGTCCCTATAAAAAGGGGAAATTTGGACATGCACACAAAGAGGGAGGAGGCCATGTGAAGACAGAGGCAGAGGTCAGGGTGATGCAGCAGAAGCCAAGGAACAGCAAAGGTCGCCAGCAGACCAGAAGCTGGAGAGAGGCCTGGCTCAGATTCTCCCTCACGGCCCTCACAAGGAACCCACTCTGCTGACACCAGGAACACCTGGGTGACCCTTGGCCAATCCTGGTAATCACTAGTCTCTTTTATCAGTTCTGACTATCGCCCCAGAACAAATAGTCAAGAGGCACGTTTGCCTCTCACCTTGACCTTGGCCCCCACCTGCCACATAGATCTGGGGACAATGGCAGCACAGGCATGTGGAAAGCCAAGGGCTTGGTCTAGTGGACGTGGATGGCCCAGCACCTGGGCTGTGCACCCTGGCCCCATCCACTCGGCCCGGCGCAGCCAGCACTTCTAGGGCAAGTGCCCTTCTCCCACTCAACCTACCCTGATGTTCAGGCTGGCCACCACCACCTCTCCTGCAGGCGTGACAACAGGGATGTTCTCACAGATGATCCCCTGCTCCACATCCACCACCTGGCCTGCAGGGAGAATGCAGGGAGGGAGGAGAAAGAGAAACTGTGCTCCCTGTGCGTTCTGGTGGGTTCTTATGCCCCTGATGCCCTCCCTTGCTTCCCCAGGTGCTCGCTTACCCACCCCGGATAGCATGCCAGTGGGTTTCCAATAAGCATCATGCAGTCCAGGGCCCCTTGTGGATACAGCCAGGTCTCTCAACAAGCCGACCCTCCCCAGCGTCTAGTACTGTGCTCTGGGCTGCCCCTCTCTGATCCTCTGGAACCTGGGGCATCACGTCTCTACTCCTGCTGTGCAGCCCTCCCCTCCTAATGCCTGGGCCACTCTTCTGCAGCACCTAGCTCCTACTGCAGCTGCAGCTGCTGGACAAGCTCTCCCTCGCCTGCACACTGTCTGCAGCTTTCTCTTGCTGCCCTGCGTGACTGAGTGATCCCCTGCACTCAGGGCCACATCCCCCTCTTTTTCAATCAATAATCCAGGCCAGGGCCCTCAGAAGGGCGAATCAGCAGGTTGGCTGGCAGTGACTACTCTGGGAAGGTAGGCCGATGCACTGGCAACCTTCCCAGGAAACCCTCCCCAACGGCCCAGCTCAACCTCAAAGACCCTGCTGTACAGCCCTGCCCTCCTGGTTCAACTGGGATGGGCCAGGGGTACACAGTGGTCCCTGAGTGTCGGAGTGGGTATGGGAGGAGCTGGGGCACCTGCAGTAGAAAGTCAGGGACAAGAAGAGGTACTCTGCAGGGAGGGGATGACCTTACCTCGGATCTTCAGGGGCCCCTCCACGCGGACACCAGACCGTACCATGGCCCTGGACCCCACCTGAGCAACCTCTGGCTCCCCGGGTCTCTTGAAACGACAGTGCTGGACATCTTCAAATACCTGGAACATCTCGTGAACCCGGGCCGTGTAACCAGCCAGCTCTGTCACCTGTGGGGAGGGTGAGCCTGGCTCAGCTCCTGCCAGCTGGGGAGGAGGGCCATGGCAAAGGTGGGGGCTGGGCCATGGGTACCTCCTTATAGGACGACATGATCCGCTCAATGGCGTCTGCTGCCGCTGTGAGGAGGTTGCGGGCGATGGTGAAGGCTTCTGTGCGCTCGCTTACCAGCTCCTCGTCCCTCTTCTCCAAGACTGCCTTCTTCATGGCCTCTGAGTCTGTGACAACACGAGGGGTGGTGGGGAGGGGCACAGACAGTGGAAAGTCATAGCAAGCCACCAGGGGAAAGACCAGTCTCTTCAGCAAACGGTGCTGCAAGAAGGTGACCCCTGCCTCATGCCACGCATACTAGCTAACTCAGAGTGGCTTGTGGGCTGCTGTGTAAGTGCCCAAACTATAACATGCTTAGAGGAAAACAGGGGTAAAGCTTTGTGAACTTGGATATGGCAATGGTTCCTTAACTATGACACCAAAAGCACAAGCAACAAAAGAAAAACATCAATTGATTGAGCTTCATCAAAATGAAATATTTTGGTGCACCAAAGGACAACATCAAGAAAGTGAAAAGACAACATACAGACTGGGAGAAGATATTTGTTAGCCACATATCTGATAAGGGCGTGGTAAGCAGAATATATAAGGAACTCAACAACAAAGAGACAAACAGCACAGTCAAACAACAGGCTAAGGGTCTGAATAGACATTTCTCTACAGAAGTCTATGAATGGCCAATAAGCTCATGAAAAGCTGCTCGACATCATTACTCGTTAGGGAAATGCAGTTCCAAACCACCAAGAGGTAGCACCTCATACCCACTGGGGTGACAACAATTAAAAGGAGGCAATAACAAGCGCTGGCAATGACGAGAAGTTGGAGCCTTCGTGCCCCGCTCGTGAGAAAGTAAAATGGTACAGCTGCTGTGAAAGCCACCAGGCAGTGCCTCCAAAGGTTGACCGCAGTCACCATACGACCTGGGAGTGCCGCTCCTAGGTACAGACCCAGGAGAAACAAAAACATATGTCCACATAGAAATTTGTACATGAATGTTCACAGCAGCATTAATCACAATAGCCAAAAGGTGGAAACCACCCAAATGTCCGTCAATGGATGAACGGCCAAAGAAACTGTGGTCCGTACATACAATGGGATATTGTTCAGCCTCAAAAAGGAATGAAGTACTGATTCATTTTACAACACTGATGAACCTTGAAACCATTATGTTAAGTAAAAGCAGCCAGACACAAAAGAAGACATTTATATGAAATGTCCAGAATATGCAAATCCATGGAGACAGAAAGCAGATGGGCGGGTGCCAGGGGCTGGCGGGGCGGGGGATGGGGAAAGACTGCTAAAGGTCTTGGGGTGATAAAAATGTTCTGGAACTAGACAGTGGCGATGGTTGTACAACTCTGTGAATATATTAAAAACCACTGAATTGTACATTTTATAAGGCTGAATTGTATGGTATGTTAATTACATCTCAATAACACTGATTCAAAAAGTGAGCCACTAGGCATCTGTGAATGCACACTGCCCCTGCCCTCTGCCCTGTACCATCGGTGTCTGCCCCTCCTGCTCACACCTGGGATTCTTCATCCAGGGCCCAGAGCTGTTTGTCTTTGAAACATGAATATCCCAGTTTCTGACCTCTACTGCGGTCCCATCTCTCCCCCATCTCCCCTCTATGGCTGTCTCTGTCTGGCCTGTTTTCTCCCAGGAGCTGCTCCTGTCTTTTTTTTTTTTTTTTTCCTTTTTGTCTTTTTTTCATGACCGGCAATGGATCGCAACCCTCAGTGTCGCACCCGTACCAGACTGGGACTGGCAACGGGATCACGCAACCCTCGGTGTTGCACCCGCACCTCGCTCAGCCAGTGAGCGGCCGGTCTGTATGTGGGATCCGAACCCTCGGCGGGAGCGCCTCCGTGCTTCCCAAGCGGCGCACTGTAGCAGTGCGCCACCGGGCTGGCCCAAGCTGCTCCTGTCTTAACTTGCTTTTCTGTCACCCCATGGTCTAGACCCCATGTCACACCCTTCAACCCTCCCTTGTAAATGGCCTTGACTCCCTTGACACTTGGAGCCCCCAGAGGACCAGGGTTTTTATGCAGGGAAACTTCTGGAAATGGTGGTAAGGAGCAAGGAGGCGGCTGACTCTGAGGGTTCTGAGGTGGGGGCTAAAGAGGCAGAAAGAAAGCTTCTGTGAAAAGCCAGAGGACTCTATCTGGGGGCATATGTGATTTAGTGGTGGGGGGAAAGGGGGCGGGGAAGAAACAGCAGTGTCGGGTGCAAAGGGGACAGGCTGAATGAAGAGGGCACCTCACATTGCTTTCTGGGGCCTGGCCCAGAAACCAGGGAAATTAACTGGGCAGGGGGTGGGGGATGTTAACCCTGAAAGTCTAAGGTCCTGGGCCTTTCTTCCCACCATGCTCTCAAGGACAACAGTCCCTCCTCCCCAGATGATCTGAGAGGTGGATAGTCATTGTGGACAAAAGGAAGTGGTTCTGCAGGTTTTCTGGAAGTCCTGGAGTAGGCCACAGTGGGGCCTCTGGGCTGGAGTGGGAGCCACGTCCCACCCCCCCACGACCCCCGCCTTCCCCCGCCCTGCAGGCCAGCAGAACAAAGCTTATCTAAATCTTTCGTGATTGATGACCCTGCCTCCTGGCTTCTCTGAAGCACCTGGAGCCCTCACTAGCCACTGGGTCCTGGAGACACGGAAGGGACAAAACGGACAAAAATCCCTAGCCTCTTCGAGCTTGCGGTCTAACGTAGGGAGAGAAGGCAGTGCCTCAGGGCATTCAGCGCTTGGAAGGCAGTAAGGTGGGGAAGGGGATGAGGAAGGTGGGTGGTGGGCAGGGCAGGCCTTGCCTCCAGGGGCCTGTGAGCAAAGCTGTGACAGGGCAAGGAGCAAGTGCAAAGGCCCTGGGGCAGAAGCAGGCCTGGGGGTTAGGAGATAACAAGAATGACATAAGAGGGAAGAGGCGAACAAGGAAGACGGAAGCTTCTCACACTTTTTGAAGGTGACTGACTGTAAGGACCATGAAGGAGGGAACAGGAGCTCATGCTTCTTTAACTCTCCCACAAAGCCAGGCACAGCAGAAGCAAGCCCTATGCCTGCAGGGGAGGGAGTGGCCTTGGGAACTAGACGGGCCATGGAGACAAGAGGCTGCAGGCCACTCGGAGACTGGTCTCCTCATGGCTTGGTTTGCTCCAGGGTTGGTGCACATGCTCTGGGCCAGGTGTGCTGACGGGGTCCACGCCCACATCACGGTGTAGACCAGGTGGTGGAAAGTAACTACCCACCCCCATTATATCCATCCTCTGTGGGAGGGTCACCCAGAGAGGACACAGACAGCTAAGGGTAGGGAAGCCCCAGGGAGGAAACACGAATAGGGAGAGAATCAGAGAGATTTCTGTTCCTGAAACTAGTCACACATATGTATATGTACATATGTCTGTGCGTGTGCGTGTGTATAGAACTGAAAACCCTCTTTCCACCAAACTGGATAAACTATAACACCTTTTAAAGCAGAGCTGTGTTTGAAGGAAAGCAGGGAAAGTTCCCAGGAGCAAAAGAGAAGCAAGCAGCCAGGTGACCCTTTGAAATTCCCAGAGACAGATGGAGGGGAAAAAACCAGGAAGCTTTACTTGCTTAACCTGGGCTCTAAGTGCACTGAACAGAAGGTCTCTAAGAATTTGTAATTATGTGCCTGGGGTTCAAATGAATGTGAGTACTACCTCCAAGTTCGGGAGCCACTCCCCTCCAGCCCAAGCAGTTACCCCCAGCTAGGTAATTACCCCCTGCAGTGCTGCCAAAACAAAAGCAAATGTGCTCTGGGGAGTTAGCGCAGAAGCCCTGCTGCAAAACCCACAAGGAAAGGGTCTACCATGAGGGAAGGCGGGCAGACAAAGATAAAGGCCCCTAAGAAGGGCAGACAGCAAATCCCTGGATGGAGACTACGGAATCAGTGTGATGAACATGACACACAGCGTAAAAGCAGCGGTCTACAGGATCGGCAAATGAGACAGTTAAAAACATTTTGAAATTTCTCTTTGAAAAAGAAAATTTCCACTTTCAAGTTTCTAAGTGAAACAGAATCAAATAGAACTTACAGAATTAGTCACTGGAAGGTTAAAAAAAAAATTCAAATTAGACAGGGCCAAAGAGAAAACTGATGAATTGGCGAATTAGGGAGCAGGAGGAGGTTCGGAGGAACTCTCCGGTCATTTAGCACAGAGCTGGATGGGGAAACAGTAGAGAGACAGTGCAAGCCCAGCGCAGGGAGTTCCAGAAGAGGAAAAGAATGAGATGAGGCAAATTGGAAAAGATAATAGCTGAGAATCTTCCGGAACAATGGAAAAACCTGAGTATTTGAAGGATGTACAAGTTTCAAGCAGGGTAAATAGAAGCCCACACCTGAACACATCACAGTGAAGCTGCAGAATGCCAGAGAGAGAGATCACAAAAGCACCCAGAGAGACCATGCGTGCCCCTGAGGGAGGACAGTTGGACCAACAGCAGATTTTCCAGCAGCTCCAGAAGACAATGGGGTATTGTTAAAGGACGGAGAGGAAGTAACTGTCCTGAGACTCCCACCCCCAGCAAAACTTGAGTTTGGGAACAAGGGTGAGATAAAGCCATCTTCAGACAACAAAGTCATCGAGAAGAATTCCCCACAACGAAACGAAACCCTCGCTGAAAGAACTTTTAAAAGATGTCTATCTGGGCCGGCCCGGTGGCACACTGGATAGTGCGCCGCTTGGGAAGCGCGGCGGCGCTCCCGCCCGAGGGTTCGGATCCCACATACAGACCGGTTCCCGCTCACTGGCTGAGCAAGGCGCGGGAGCAACGCCGAGGGTTGCGATCCCGCTGCCGGTCCCCCAGTACGGGGGCAACACTGAGGGTTGCGATCCCGCTGCCGGTCCCCCAGTACGGGGGCAACACTGAGGGTTGCGATCCCGCTGCCGGTCCCCCAGTACGGGGGCAACACTGAGGGTTGCGATCCCGCTGCCGGTCCCCCAGTACGGGGGCAACACTGAGGGTTGCGATCCCGCTGCCGGTCCCCCAGTACGGGGGCAACACTGAGGGTTGCGATCCCGCTGCCGGTCCCCCAGTACGGGGGCAACACTGAGGGTTGCGATCCCGCTGCCGGTCCCCCAGTACGGGGGCAACACTGAGGGTTGCGATCCGTTGCCGGACACGGAAAAAGACAAAAAGACAAAAAAAAAAAAAAAAAAAAAAAAAAAGATGTCTATCTGGAAGATTACTGAAGACAGAAGAGAGGACCGAGATGTAAGAACAGAACAGTGAGCAAAAAAATCGGTAAATACGTGGTGAGTTTCCACACGCGTCAACCGGACAAAGCGAGAGGACCCGCAGCTGTACGCTGGGAGGCCCGTTCTCACCGGAGAGTATGCTAAGGCCCAGGAGGAGGGGAGCTATTGATTAACCCAAGACTACTTTCAAGTATACATGTTAACCTTCTAAAAGGTCACCACTAAAAGACTGAAAACAGAATGAATAAGTTACAAATCAGTAGAGGAACAAAACGGGAATAAAGAAAACCTGATCATCGGCGAAAATGACAGTAGAACAGGCTTCCCACTCCTCCAAAAGGCCTAAGGGTGGAGGTCTCTACCCTTTGCATATACAAGAGCTATTTTGGGTTGGGAAAACCTTGGCTGGAGCGATGAAGGGGCTCACCCAGGAACTTCTCACATCCTCCCACCTCCAAATTGGGCCAAGGACAGGGACAGGTGGGCGAGGATGCATGCACATGGTGAAGTGACACATGGCATTCCTGTTGCAGTCCTGGGCTTGGCTGAGTGGTACCAAGGGACATGAGATGCATGCAGGGCAAAAGGTAACAAGGAGCTACAAGGAGAGCCCGACCTCTGGTAATCTCAAGGATGCCAGCAGGGCCTCGATGTCCCCAGCAGAAGGGGCAGGTGAGCTGGCTGAGCTCTGGAACCTTGCAATCCTAGCACCCAGTGGTACGGGAGGGCAGGGCCCCTTCCCCTGGGCTCCCTGGCTCTCTCACCTGACTCTGAATACCCGGTGGCAGTGATGATGGGGACGGCCACCATGAGCAGGCCCGAGGCACTCCACACATACTTCATGAGGAACTGCTCCAGCATGACGTACCACAGGCGTTCCAGCAGGATGAGGTTGATCTGCGAAGCCAGGTCCTGGTAGGAGTGCTGCAGCAGGGCCAGCTCCACCTGCCGGGGATGACAGAGACTGAGAGGCCTTATGGCAGCTCCTTCAGGGGCGATGGTGAGAGTCCCCAAGTGCTCACCGTTTGATGGCCATGACAAAGCTGAGAGCTGGGGGTTACAACTGGGTGGGGCTGGGTCCCAAACTCAGGGTAAGGAGGTAAGGGATTGCCTGATGTCACAGCGCAGCTCCCATCCCCTTTCCACTACCTCTCTCGTTGGGATGCTCGCCACTCCCCTCTCTTTGCCCTGGGCAGCTTCTAGATGCTGGTCCTCAGCTGAGCCCATTTCTTTGGGCTCCCTCCCAGCCCTCTCCCCTTGCCCCTGCTCCCCATCCCCCAAGAGAAGATCATCAGCTCTAACTTTTGTACCCTGCACTAGGCAGGTTGTGCTCAAAAACTCAGTTCAACAATCTCTGCTCATTTAGGCTCACCTCCCCCTACTTTCCCATGTTCCTTTCTGTGAGAAACTTGCACTGCATTTTCCCACCAAGGCCAGGAGAGTGCACTACCAACCCAGCCCTTACATAAGTCGCCCCGGTGGGCAGCCCCACACCTGAGTCTGGCTCTTGCTCCCTCAGCAGTGGGAGACTTCTCCTGCCCTCCTGTCCCTCTTCCTGCACTGGCCACCACCTGCCATGTCAGGACAGGGACAAATGAAGAGAGAGGCCACTGCAGGGAAAGGGGCGGCAGCAGAAGTCAGACAGGCCGGGAGGCTGGAGGGTCGGAAAGTGTCCACGGCAAGGTGGCCATGAGGTCATGGATTTCCTAGCAGTCCAGGGACACGTACCCTAGCCCTGCCTCCCCCCACCCAACTGGCAACAGCTGTCCAGACTGGCACTGTTTGTCAAGTGCTTTCACATCTCTCTCCGTTTGACTCTCACCAAGTAGTACTATGGCATGTGTATTCTCATGTCCATTGTATGGCAGGACACTGAAGCCCAGAGAGGCACAGTGACCTGCCCAAGCTCACACAGCCTGGAGATAGTGAGCAGTACAGGAATTTGGACCACACTGACAAAGCTGTTAGGAGAATCAGATTCTTGTAAATGATGCTTTGACTTATTAAGAAAAGTTTACTTTGTTCTCATGCAAGAGATTGTGTGTATGTGTGTGCATGTTTGCACGTATGTGTGTTTAAATAAGCCTCCTCATTGAAATCCCAGTAAGAATGGCATACCCTGCTGTTTGCCCTCCAGGTGGTCAGCTGCTTCTGCCCTAACCTGTTGATCTGAACCTAGGCCAGTGTCCATGGGGACATCAGACAGTGGGACAGGAGTGGGCCACATGTCTGTATGGCAAGGGCAATCAACCCACCTACAGGGGCCCGTCACCCGACACAGTTTTCCAACTGAGGCCTGTACAGACAGCTGCGGATGCACGTCAGGACCCTCTGCCCTGGCAAGCGAGTGCTCTTGGAGAATGTGCTGCTTCCTGAAGCCAGCCCACAGGAAGGCCATCAAAGGACCAGTGCTCTGTCTCCTGCCCCCCCAGGTCTGCTCACATAGCTCAGCTTTCCTCAAGCATCTCCTATTCCTGAAGTGAGCATGCCTCCTCTGAGCACCCTGGCAATCCAGACTCGTGCTGGGAGCTGGCAGGAATGCCAGCCAATGCTGACAATGTAGCTGCGGGTAACGTGCCAAGCGCCTCACCCAAGGCCACGGCAGCCTGCCAAGGCCCTGCAGCCCAGCGTGTGGGAGAGGGGTTGCCACTGAAGGCCAGGCACTTTTTTCCCTAACCTGCAGCCTGGCCCACGCCTGGGATGCCCCTCTCATCCATGCCTGAGATGGAGTTCAGGGACAGCCTTTTTTAAAAAATCAGGGACGAAACTGCTTCTCTTCCTGGTGAGCAGCTAATGACATAAGGTCCTGAGGCAAGAGGCCACCTGACCTAGGGAATGCATGCAGGCCTTCAAAAGATGGATGCCATTGTGCCCCTCCCCCCTAGAAGCACTTGGGGAACCGAAACCAGAGTTGCAGAGAGCAGGGCCTGAGGCAGCTGCAACCCCAGGCACGAGGAAGGGGAGGGGCTGAAGAGAGATAAAGCGAGCACTGGCCTGGAGTAACCTTTCCCAGCGCCTGCCTGGCCCGCCCTGGCCCACCAGGGAGCTATGCGCCTGGGACCCGGAGGAAGGGCGGTCACACCGGGGGTAGGGCAGCCGCTGGGTGGACAGGAAGTGTGTCCCACCGCGGTGGCAGCCGGGGCGGCATCCCTGGCCCAGGGGCTGCGGGGAGGCGGCAGGCCCACAGGCTCGGGTAGAAGCAGCTTAGACCCTGAGTTCTGCCACTGTTGCAGCCCCCGCGCTGCTCATTAACCTCTGCTTGGGCTGAGTCATACCCATAATGCATGCCTGACTGGCCAGCCACTCTGCTGGACGCCAGCCTTCAAAGGGCCCAGGGGCCCAGGACGGGCGGGGCAGGAGCACTGTCCCTACTCCCGATGGCAGGTGTCTCCTCTTGGCTGGCTGCAGGAGCAGGGCGAGCCAGAGTTCTAGTTTCTCAAACCGCTAGGATCCACAGCTCCAAGTTCAGGGCAACCTTGCCAAGGAGGAGAGGAAGCAGAAGCAGCCTGAAGCGTGCAGGCAGCCGGCACAAGGCAGTCCCACCTTGCCTTCCTGTTTCTCTATTTCTGCACCTAAGTCCACAGCCACCCAAGGCCCTGCCCAGCCCACCTCTCCCATGGCCTACCCACACCTTTGGCATGAGCCCCGGCCAGCCCTGGGCTTTCCCCACTGTTCCCGGCTGCCTGCCCCTGGGCCTCCCAGCCACACGCTTTCCTCCATGCCCAGTGCCCCAGCGTGCCCCACCTCATGGCCCCCATAGAAGGCGATCTCCTCCGAGTTGGCCACCACGCGAGAGTGCATGTAGCGCAGCTCCCCTTTCCGTCGTGCCTCCTCTGCCACCAGCTCCCCAAACTTGGGTGAGAAGGCCCGCAGCACGTTGGCCGTGAGGAACACCACAAGGCCGGCAATGGCTGAGGGCCAGGCTGTGCCGGCCCCGCGGGAGCGTGCTGCTCGAAGCAGGGTGTAGGAGGTCACGGCCACGTCCAGGAGCGGCTTGGTCAGATTGGAGTAGAGGTGGGCCACAGAGGCAGCAAAGGCCACCACATCCTCTGTCAGAGACTGGTCAGGGTTGCGAAGCCGCCCGTCCATGTTGCTGACTCGGTAGTAGGTCTGCTGGGAGAAGTAGAGGCTGTAGGCGTGGGCCACCAGACGGCTGCGGAAAGACAGGGCCAGCTGGCCCTCCAGGTAGCGGATGGCACTATTGATGAAGGTGGCGGGGAGGGCGATGAGGAGCCACTGCAGCAGCTGCCAGCTGAAGGCCCGTGGGTCCTTGCGCACGATGCAGCGGGCCAGCCGTCCGTCCAGGCGGGCCACATACACCGACAGGAAAGTCCGGCTCACCAGGGCGGCCGAGTGCAGCGCCAGTAGCCCCGTCTCCCGGCACAGCACCCGGGGAAACAGCAGCCGCAGCAGCCACAGCAGTCGCTGCAGGAATACCTGGTTCATGCCGGCCTTGGCCCCTGTGGCCCCGGAGGTCTCCTGTGTGGGTTCCTCCACCGGGACCTGAGGGCCCCTGGCTGGAGCCAGGCACTGCCGCACCAGTGGGTAGATTTTGTGGACTCCATAGGCTGTGATGGCCAGGGCCACAGCGGTGCGCTTCAGTGTGGTGACCCGCGAGGGCCGGGGGGTGGAGAGCACCGGCATGTCACCTGGGCTGGCAAGCACGCACAGAGTGGGACTGGTGCCTGAGGCAGCAGTTGAGGCTGGTGGCTGGAAGGGTTGTTGCTCTGACCCGGGCTCGTTGTCTAGGCAACTGGAAACCTTGCAGTGGTCTCTGAGACTGTCGCTTTACGCCCCCGGGGTGGTGCTGGGGCCCCTGGTGCGGTGGGCTCAGGGCCCTCCAGGGTCGCGGCCTCTTCAGGCAGCCCAGGTGGAGAAGCTTGGCCTCCCTCTTGTATCAGTCACCTAGGCCCTGAGGTCAGATCCTCGAGAGACCTCAGGCAGAGAGGGCGTCTCTTCCCCTCAACCTCTCCTCCTCCTGCCCTGGTGGCGCCCCTCCCAGGGCCACCAGGCGCGTCCGTCTGCTCCGAGGCCAGGCTGAAGCAACAGTGACTCCGCCACCGGCCCAGAATCCCCACCCACCGTCCCCTCCTCATGGGCGAGTCTGGGGGAAGAGGAGGAGGCGGAGGAGGGGCGGGAGGCGGAGTCCGGGCGCTGGACGCTCCACCCTCTTCTCGCCCCACGGCTGGGCCCCGCCCCCTCCCCGACCACAGAGACGTGGGACGACCTCGCGGGCTAGAGAAGCAGTCCTCGCCTTCCCGCCAAGGCCCCGCCCCCCGCGCATCCGGAGCGCGGGAGGCGCTCCTACCAGC